CATCTATCTGTTGTCTCTTGTCTTACCCTTAGATTGTTTGTTCTCTGGGGCGGGAACCGTCTTTTTGCTCTGTGTTTGTACAGCGCCTGGCACAACGGGGACCTGGTCCGTGACTGGGGCGCCGATCTATCATCATAATAGATACATGAAATTAAAAAGCCAAAATTAACCCACAGGGGACATAAATGCTGAACCTCTTCTGTCCTATCCAGCTTCTCCTCCTGCCCTCATCCCCAACTCTGTGTTTCTGTCAGAGAGGGCAGGGGGGAGGTGTCCACCTGGCACTTGGAGCGGAAGGTGGTCTTCAACAGCGGTTTGGGGTCCTGGTGATTATTAGTCGTAGCCAGACATAGTTTGCAGACCACCGTCTCGGCCAACACCGGGAACCCCCAGAGCTCAAAGCGCGATGATCTCTACAGCTTGAGCTGAAGAGCCAAGTTAGAGCTAAGTGACTTGAAAGAAGCAGTGAAACACTAGAATAGGGAGGAGTGGGGAGAGTGGCTGGTGGTCGAGGCCCAAAGGGGAAGGGGCAGGTGGGACGGGGAGAAGAGGATGGTGTCATGGGCCCTCCTAAGAGGAGAAAGTTGGGGAGAGGGAGAAAAGAGGGGGCCATGCCCTATAAACACAGATGAACCCATGGGGGGAGCCGCTGGCTCAAAGAAATGGGAATTACCTCAGGGCCTGCCACAGACAGAGGGTCGGGGGTAGTGTGTAATGAGGGAGCTGTGGGGATAATTGTGGGATTCTGGCTGAGAGATCACAGCACTGGGATGCTGCGGCACACTCCTTCCTGAAATGGGATCCTAATCTCATCCTGTGTCACCTTCCTGCAGAGGGTGCAGCGAGGGGTGAGGGCCCTGCCTGGCCACTGGGATTATGTTCCCCACTTCTCACCCTCTTGAGGTTCTGGAGTGTTCTCGGTGGGGCCCGCTCAGTGCAAATGCAAGGCCCGGGAGTTCGGGAGCCATTCGCTACGCACAGTGGAAACCGGGGAGGAGGGGCTCTTTGCGTGAACTCTTGGGAGCGTGCGAGGTAGGGAGGCTACCAAACGGCAGGGCATTGCAACCACCAGGGTGATGCAAGGCTTCTATATTTAGGAGCTGGCATGAGCCTGTCCTAAATATAGCACGAAATATGGGGCACTGACCTCCCTGCAGACCGCTGGCAGTCCCTCAAGTTACGAAAGAACCGCTCCATTTAGATTAGATGTGGAAGAGCGCCCAAGGTCCCATCCAGTCCCTCCCTGGGAGACCAGGCAAAGTCCTTCCCTAGGGGACTTGTATAATGTTTTCTCCAGGCTCGGTTTAAATGCCCCAAGTGTTACGCTCCAGCCATTTCCCTTTGAGGAGCGATGGTGTTCGTCCCAATGTGGTGATGTTTTTATAGCGCAGCGGAACTGGGAACTGTCCTCTGAGCTCTAGGAGGGTGTGCACAGTGTGCTTTGTTCCACGGTGTGTATCTTCAGTGAACACGGCTATCTGGCCCTCACTGAGCGTATGTGGGTCCTTCATAGTCTTTATGGCTGTGTTCTACCCCTTAAAATAGCCTCAAAACCCATTGCACCCACTGTCTGATTGACTTGCTTTACCGTCCATTTTCATTTCACACCGAAGCATATTGGGTCTACGGTAAATATAGCAGGATGCAGATGAGCATATGCCATTGTTTGTACGTGTGTCCGGGGACAAACAAAATGGTTACAATGGAATTGAGATTGGAAATACATAGCCATCATTGCAGACGGAAAGGAAACCATTAAGAGGAATTTATTATTTAATAACCCAGACAAAGTGACATCAAATGAAGAGAAAGTGGGACATGCAGGGTTAAGGAAACTGCAGATGAATTTAAAATCCCCTCCCATCCCTGCTCCAAATCGTGAGATGACTCTACAACATCAAATGGACCTGATTCGGCTCTCACTGGCGGGTGCAAATCAGGGGTAACTTCACGGAAAGCAGCGGAGTGACCCTGGCATAAAGCTGTTGTGAGATCAGAATCAGGCCCCGTATCTTTAACACTGATGCTACCCTTACCAGATTGTCCCACACAAAATACTGATGGTCTGCAGCAGTTGTTGACTGGGAGCTCTGACATCCGTCACCCCCCTGCCCTACGCCCAATCCTCCCTCTCCTTCCTGTAGGTCATGCCTCCCCTGCACTGTCTGTCCAGGTCATTTTATAACCTCCACCGCAGCATGAGTCTCCTCGCAGATCCCATGAAGTTGTCACTGGGGGAGGAGAGGGACTCATTCCATACCTTGGGGGATTTTATTCCCCAGGAGAATAGGGCACCCTGAAGGGGAAAGAGAGATTGAGCGGCAGAGAGCCATGCTCCGAGTGGGGGCATGACTTATAATAATAAATGGAGATATACCTATCTCATAGAATTGGAAGGGACCCTGAAAGGTCATTGAGTCCAGCCCCCTGCCTTCACTAGCAGGACCAAGGACTGATTTTGCCCCAGATCCCTAAGTAGCCTCCTCAAGGATTGAGCTCACAACCCTGGGTTTAGCAGGCCAGTGCTCAAACCACTGAGTTATCCCTCCCCCTGCTTCCTGGAGAGGTGACCTCTGCTCCGGCTGCTGCCCCACAGCTGACCAAGGCATGGGTGCATGGAACAGAGACACAGTTGGTTGAAGCCTGTGTGGAGTGACTGGCAGCAGATTGCTGGCTAAACTCTGACACATCATTGTTTTCTATGCAAACAGCGAGTCAAGGTCAGCGGTGATGGTCCCTACAGCTCAGTGACCCTGCTCTGGACAAGCCAGAAGATGTGGGGTCCTCTTTGTATAAGGTCACTGTTATCTTACTTTGGGACAGGACCTCCGGGAAATACATTTCAGCCGGAGAGACTGGTGCCAATTCCAACATTACAAAAGACAGATCAGACCAGTGGCCACAGTTCTGAGCTGTTGGCAAGGGTGGACTTTAACAGGTGCGACATCACATGCTGGGAAGTAAACAGTCAGGGTATTTTGAGGCTGCGGCATTACAACACCCAGCCTGGTGAGCTATAGCGAAGCGGACATTAAGCATAAACTTTAATGGGCTGTATTTGTAATAAGTTTACAGTAATGGGGTTTATAAGTCGCTTTTGAAGCAGCTTGGCTTCGATAGAGGGAAATAACCTTTGACGCAATTGCCCAGACAGGTGACAGTTTAGTAATTTTTTACTGTGGTCATGAGGTCTCCCGGACCTTGAGAAAGCATAAGCATGAGGTGTGTGACCAAGTGAAGAATAATGGATCATGATTTATGACCAGGAAAGTGGCCAGACCCTAATGGTCAAGAAGCTGTTGAAGAGCCCAGATTGTTGATCCAAGGGGGCTTGAGACAGTTTTGGTGGAGGCATCAGTCCTGTTATTTCCTTATCGCTTGCTTGGGATAAACACGTGGACTTGTGGACGGGACACAGAAGCAGTCCCCTAGGAAGGAGGGCCCCCAAGAATGGACAAAAGGTCAGCCTGCCCTTGCTTGATCAGGACTGGACAATGCAGTTGAGCTGCAAAACCTGTGATCACCTGATTTGCCCAGAAGATCTCCAGGGAGGTCCTATGGGATGTGACCAGCTTGAATCTCAACCTTAAAAGACCAGGTAAGCGAGGAAGAAGTGTGCTCCTCTCCAGGTCCCCATAACGACAACCAAATGTCTGACACTCCTGCTTTTCCTGGGCTGGTTCCACAGAAAGTGGAGCCCAAGACACCGCAGACCAGCCAGTTGACCAGAGGATGATGCCCACTAACATGAAGGTACCTGAGCCAGAAGACATTGCCTGCTTCCCTACACTGCATTTCCTCTTTGACTCTCTGAAGCTCAACGGATCAAGCAAGACAAAGAGCAGATCCTTTTTCTTTTCCCCAGTGACTTTTCCTCTTTTTGTAGAATACCTGATACCTATGCAGGAACGCCTGTGAGGAGAGACTTGGCTTGTGTGTGTGTCCTCTGTGTGTGTGTGTGAGCCCATAGTACGAAATTAACCTAGGTTAATGCAACTCTTACCACATATCACTGAAGGCCATCCTGGGTTTGTAAAAATTCCAGCTTTAGCTCATTCTTTCCACAAGGGAAAGGACACAGATTGAAATTACTGGGATTATATAGTTTTGTAATGTAATGATTAATTTTGCTCGTGCAATGATTTGAATCCATTGTTGGTCTCCACTTGTTTATATTGTTAGTTAACCGATTTTAATTTGTACTATTGTTAACTCCTTGATTGATTACTCTGATTTATGTTCTAACCTCAGTCTGATTCTCATATTGTTTAGCACTTTAAGGAAGTATAATTAACTAATTAGCCTTATAGTCATTTAGGCTCTTAAATAAAAGCCATAAAACCACATTGAGCTGATTTTCTCTAATCAAAAAGCTGTGAGGTCAAAAGAACCTTAGTTAAGGGGATTTTAATTAAACATTAACAAATCATTTAACTGAGGCCCTGAAAACCTTATTATTACTACAGTTCGCGGCACACCATAACCTAAAGCTTGGACAGTGTGAAACCCATAAGTACCCACCTTCTTCTCCCATGGCTGCTCTGTTCCACTACCCAAATCTCACTCCGTCAGGAGTGGCTGGGTTGAGCTGTTATCATGGTTTTCTGGTTAATTTTTTGATCTCCACTCTGACCACTTCGGATGCCCATGCTGCGTTCTAGGCTTCCCCTTTCTCCTGTGCGGCCAGAAGACCTCTTGAATTCTGCACTGCCTCTGACGAGCTCCCTGCACACGGGACCCTGATGTACCGAGCCTGTCCTTTCTGCACAGGAAAAGACTGGGCAGGCTCGGTGTAAGTGAATAAAATAAAAAAGCTGTTCAGTGTCTTGGAGCTTGTGTCAAAGCAAACACCTAAGGAGTGAGCACCTGCTCCCCATTCCAGGTGTGCATTCACCTGCATCCTCCACTGGTCTTGGGCATTAGATCCCCTGCTCCTCTTCCTTCCCCGGCACAAACTCACCTGGGTCCCTCCCCGCTTACCTGCATCTCTGCTGCCATAGGTGGAGCAGATCCTGTCGGAGTTCCGGCTGCAGGAGGAGGATCTGAAGAAGGTGATGCGTCGGATGCAGAAGGAAATGGATCGGGGGCTGAAGCTGGAGACGCACGAGGAAGCCTCTGTGAAAATGCTGCCCACTTACGTACGCTCCACGCCCGAAGGCTCAGGTAACACATTATCCTACAGGGTGTGAACGCCCAGGGGGAAATGGGAGCACAGAATTTCCCACCCCTACACCTTCCAGTGGTCCCATGGGTACACAGAGACCCCCCATAGAGACAGGGACCCACCCACCCTGGGGTAAGAATTTGGTCACCATCTGTCCACTCCTCTCCACCAAGGGCGTGCTGCTCGCAGCTTGGGGGAGGGAGCAATCAGTGGTGGTAGATGACAGAACAAGGAGCAATGGTCTCAAGTTGCAGTGGGGGAGGTCCAGGTTGGATATTAGGAAAAACTATTTCACTAGGAGGGTGGTGAAGCACTGGAATGGGTTCCCTAGGGAGGTGGCAGAATCTCCATCCTTAGAGGTTTTTAAGGCCCGGCTTGACAAAGCCCTGGTTGGGATGATTTAGTTGGTGTTGGTCCTGCTTTGAGCAGGGGGTTGGACTAGATGACCTCCTGAGGTCTCTTCCAACCCTGATATTCTATGATTCTATGAATCATAGCGCGCTGGCCTTCGAATCCATGAAAGACCCACTAGAAGAAGGGCTAGAGAGGGCGGAACAGCCTGTCGAACCTCAGTCCTGCCATTGTCTGCTGAGAGGCATTGTCTCCAGTGCCAGTGAAGTCTGTGGGAGACGAGGAGGTTCTGCCTTTCTCAAGAGGTGCCCAGCACCTTCCAGAATTAGGCCCTCCCATAGGTGATTTCAAGGCGCCCATCTCTACTCCTTGGTGTCTTCTAGATCAGAGCTGCCTCATCTTTTGCAAACTCCGCTGGCTAGCACAGAGGCCAGGGCTTGTTTCGGGGAGGCTAGCGCTGACTCTGTGGCACTAGCCTCATTCAGTCAGCAGAAGGCAGGTTTGTCCTTGTGCTGGCCCCCAGAGAGGCGTTTTCTGGGTCATTACGCAATCTCCTGAATTCCCCCACCTCCCTCCAGCAGCAGCAAGAGATAGGTGATAAACCCTGTGGCAGGAACTGTGTTGACATGAGGGATGATGCGGGAGCACCCGGTGGGCTGGGCTTCCGATCAACTGGCCATAAACTGAAGTTGCCAATCAGAACCCAGCCATGTTAGATTCATTTGGACGCACAAGAGAGAAAGCAACGTGTCTGTAAAATGGAGGGAAAAGACAGGTCTTTCTCCGTTTGCTTTCTAAGCAAGTCTTCCAAGTTATTAACTGCCTTCCTCTGCAGGGATCCATGCAGTGAACATCACAAGTCAGGAACAGAGCTGGTCAGAAAATGGGCTGTTTTTCTCCATGGAAAATGTTGATCTGTTGTTGAAAAAACAAACCTTTGTGGCCAAAACCCAGAACATGTTTGGTCAAAATCCCCCAAAATTTCAGTCAAAAACCAAACAGTTTTGGCCATGGTTTTTCAGGTTTTAGTTTTTGACAAAAAGTTAAAATTTTCCACAGGAAGGGGAGGGAACAGTTTGGGTTTTGGACTGAACATTTTCTGTCCTTTTGATGGAAAAAATAAAAACACCCCTCCCCCAACTAGATATTTTCCATGAAAATGTGCATTGAATCAAACTCCCAATTTTCCATCAGAAAAAAAAAAGGTTTGGGGGGAATTTTTTAACCCTGAATTCTACTGTTAATTTTCGTAGCGTCTAGGAGCCCAGTCGTGGGCCAGGGCCCATTGTGCTAGGCGTAGTACAAACACAAAACAGCTAAGTAACTCTTGAACAGTTAAGCTTCATCCTGATGTTGCAGAGGTTGGGGACTTCCTGTCGTTGGATCTCGGCGGCACCAACTTCCGCGTGATGTTGGTGAAAGTGGGCGAAGGGGAAGAAGGGCAGTGGAGCGTGACGACAAAGCATCAGATGTATTCCATCCCAGAGGACGCCATGACGGGAACTGCTGAAATGGTGAGTGAGTGCTTGGCCATGAAAACAAGGTGCTGGCGGGTGTCCCCCAGACAAACTCTCCAACCGGAAGGTGGGCGGGTGGCAGCTGGGGTGGGAAATGAAAAGGCAGCTGGAATGGAGCAATACTAAAAGTGCTGAAGAATAAGCTAAGTTGTCTGATTGATTTTCTAGATCTATCCAACTCCAACAGGCCATCGAAGGTCTCCTTCAGAGAGGCAGAAGGGATGGGGGAGGGTCCACTTTCTACGGGATATTAGGAGGAATGTACAGAGTAAAACATGGATATATCCGTACTTTACCAGAAAGGAACCATGCGGGAAGTCTCTGTAGCAGGGTTTCCGATATTCTGTGTTTTGTGCGGTAAATAGAGCTGAACAAATGATTGATTTTTTTGGTTGGTGGCAGAACCAAAAAAACTGGGGGGGGAAATAGACCCGAAACAGAAATTTTTCAGTTTTTCTCACTGAAAACCCTCTAAAAAATTTGATTTTACATTCAGCAAAATATTTCTTTGACTCCAAAACAATTTTTTTATTATGTAATTTTTTGTGTCATTTCATGTTCAAGTCTTCTTACCCTTTTTTAAAATCTAACTAAATTTTTAAAGTAACTTCGTTTAGAAAGGAAAAGTGGAAATGTTTCATTTCAAAAACGTCAAAACAAAATGGTTTGACTTTACTGAATGTTATTTTTCTTTCATTTTTGTGCCAAAACTCTTTGCCAAATTTGACCTGAATTTGTGAATAGTTTCAGTTGACCTAAAACTGTATTTTTTGGTAATCAGCTGTTCCTCTGAACATTTTGCCCAGCTCCAGTGATAAGTCCAGGGTGCATGGTAATTGGCAATCCTTTAGGGAGCCTGTATGAAGCCATGAGTCAGTTATACAGCCCACACTAAAGGAAAGCCAATAAAACCTTTATACTCCCACACCTCAGCACGTTCTCTTTGTGCTGCAAAGTTTAGAGAACCTGTCCTAGTTGATTTTTAATTGTTTATCCTTCATGAAAACTAAAGAGACAAGACTCTGAGGACAGACCAGGTTTAGCTAACATTGGACATGCAAAAAGTGAAGTAGGATCTTGAAGAGATCAAAAGACCCCAGAGACTTTAGGATTTAAGATTAGACAGAACATGGATAGCCTAGCAGATTCATATTGCTTTTTTCTGGTCTAATTTGTAGAGCTGGACAAAAATTTTCTGTTGAAACTATTTTTTGATGGAAAATTGGGTTTTAGGCAAAACAAAAAAGAGTTTCTTGCTTCCCACATAAAATATTGGTGTGTGGGTTTGGGGGCAGGGAGGGGACTGGGGGGGAGGGGGTTTGGGGTCAAAACAAGAATGTTCAAAGATGGAAACATTTCAGTTGTGAAATGCTGCTGGCATGCCTCATGGGAGTTGTAGTTTGCACATCTAATGCTCTCATTTTCTTCTATGGCAGGACTTCATCTCCCATGATGCACCAAGGCCATGCCACTGCCACAGTGAACCACTTCCCTGCACTAAGAAGGGAGGCTGTGGTGCATCATGAGAGATGTAGTATGACTGGGGAGTCTGGCCTGTGGAGGAGAATGGGAATATTAGGGACCTGAACTACAACTCCCATGAGGCACTGCGGCAGCCATTACCAAATTGAAAGGATTTGAGCTTTAGATTTTTTGCCAAAAAACTTGAAATTTCTCATTATCTGATCAGCTCTATTAATATGTAATTATTCAAATGGCAGATATGGCAGGCAATACATTCTAAGGTCCTCGGATTGGGGTACCAGTTTGTTTGATAGCCCATTTTTAGGTGTAACCTCAGTGGCAGCTTGACTAGACACCTGGGTCAAATAAGTTTTAGCTTCATCCAAGCCATATAAAACAGATAGTTTTTTGTTTCGATTTTTGCTAAAGCATCTTTGTGATAAGAATAAAACTGAAGTACTAAAGCCCAGTTCTCACCTGTGAGTCTTTAGGAGCAAAAGCTGCTGCCTCTGAGTTTGTAGATTTTGACACATCTGGAAATTAGGAATCTTTTATTTTGGAAGCCCAGTTTAACCCTTTTACCTCCCCCCTCCCATCCGGCCGATTAATATTTCATGATCAGAGAGACACAATAATTGTGTGAATAATTAATTTTACTGGCTGCATTAAAATAGCCATTACTAGGGACACAAAATACTTACATATGTGAAGGGGAGGACTGAACTAATCGAATTTTCAAATAAAAACACAGAATTATACCAGCCCTCTACTCAAATTCCCGCACTCACCAGTCACAGATCTCGGTATTGTTCCCGAAGACTTCAGCTTCTCTACGTAACAATATATTCCACCCACAACGTGGCAGCCATGTCATCTAAGCACTTGCCTGGCACAGACACACCAAAGTCATGTCAGAATTCCCCCCACACACACACCCCCAAAAAGTTTTGACTAGGAAAATTTCGCCCAGCTCTATCCAAGAGTAATTCCTTCAACGAACATATCAGAGGAAGGCCAGTAGGGTACAGACAACCGGATTTAGGGCAGAGATAAAGTCATCTGCTCTCACATACACACATTCATCCCCACGCACACCAGGTGTGTGTGCCCAGTCCCAGCCTCCTCTACCAGTATTCATTTCCTCTGTACCTCTAGCTAGGACTGGGCAGCTGCACACATCAACTCAGCCTAAGAGGCGTGGGTGGAAGCCATGGCCGGCAGTGCTAGCCCATGTGCTGTTGGCCGCTCTGAGACAGGCAAGAGCTACCCCTGAGCACAGATTTTGCAGATCTCCAAAGCTGGAATTAGGAACTGCCATTGCATGGGCCACTACGTTATACCAGAGGGTTGGGTGCCCTCTGGTGGGCAATGCTGCGACTGCAGACATCTGCATGTCTATATAATGCGCGCCATAGAAATCTTTATGTAGTGCGTGTGGTTTTCTGGGTAATAATCACTGATGGTCATTATTCCCGAGGCAACATCCAATAGAAAGTCAATGAATGGACCTGGGTAGAGGCTAGAGAACTGGGCAGCATGGAGTGGCGGGGAGTGTGGAGCCAGGCATCCCATAGAGGAGGCCGTCAGAGGCAGGAGGAGGTTGGTGGTTGCAGGGCTGATGAGAAATGCCCAGCAATGCTGTTGTCATGATTTTGGAGTGACTTGGGGCCTCCCTTTTCCAGCTCTTCGATTACATCTCCGAATGCATCTCCGACTTCCTGGATAAACACCAGATGAAACACAAAAAGCTGCCTCTGGGCTTCACATTCTCCTTCCCCGTGAGGCATGAGGATATTGACAAGGTGAGCCCAAGGCGGGGTGACTCCCACGGGAAAATCAGAGGTGAAGGGTGAGAGAGGCTGCAAAGAATAGGGAGGGAGTGTGACAGTGGGCAAAGTGGAGGAGCCAGGCCTGGTCTTCACTGCCCCTTCACATGCTGAGCTACAGAGCTGCATCCAGTGTCCCCGGGTCCACAGTGTGAGCGTGAGCCCCCATCTGTACACAGCAGATCCCTTAAACGCTCGGGCCCAGGTCCTCAAAGGTATTTAAGTCCCCTTGATTTCAATGGGAGTTAGGTGCCTAAATACCTTTGGCCTTTCTTCATAGGGCTGGCATCTTTATTCAGAGGTGAGCAATGACTGATCCCCCGTCACGTTCATGCTTGTTGCTTCCTGCTCCCTTGCGCACTTACACTAGATCTCACACTTCAGACTCCAAAGCTCAGTCCGTGCTGATAAGGCCTCAGCTGGAGTATTGTGTCCAGTTCTGGGTGCCACATTCCAGGAAAGATGTGGACAAATTGGAGAAAGTCCAGAGAAGAGCAACAAAAATGATTAAAGGTCTAGAAAACCTGACCTATGAGGGAAGATTGGAAAAATTAAGTTTAGCTAGTCTGGAGAAGAGAAGACTGAGAGGGGACATGATAACAGTTTTCAACTACATAAAAGGTTGTTATAAGGAGAAAGGAGAAAAATTGTTCTCTTTTACCTATGAGGACAGGACAAGAAGCAATGGGCTTAAATTGCAGCAAGGGCGGTTTAGGTTGGACATTAGGAAAAACTTCCTAACTGTCAGGGTGGTTAAACACTGGAATAAATTGCCCAGGGAGGTTGTGGAGTCTCCATCATTGGAGGTTTTTAAGAGCAGGTTGGACAAACACCTGCCAGGGACAGGGCCGGCTTTAGCAGGTGCGGGGCCCCATGCCAGGACGCAAATTGTCTCTCGCCCCCCCACACCCCGACTCCGCCCCCTCCCTACCCCATTGGATCCCTCCCTAAATCCCTGCCCTGGCCCTGCCCCCTCCCTGCTCCATTGGATCCCTCCCCAAATCCCCGCCCTGGCCCCGCCTCTTCCCCAAGCACGCCACATTCCTCCTCCTCACTCCTCCCTCCCAGGCTTGCGCTGATCAGCTGTATGACGGCGCAAGTGCTGGAGGGAGGGGGGAGAAGCAGGACGCGGCTTTTTTTTTTTTTTTTCCTCCATTCTGCCGGCAGCCCCGGACGTTGCGGGGCCCTCTTAAGGCGTGGGGCCCCATTCCGGGGAATCGGCCGAATCGGCTTAAAGCCGACCCTGGCCAGGGATGGTCTAGATAATACTTAGTCCTGCCTTGAGTGCAGGGGACTGGACTAGATGACCTCTCAAGGTCCCTTCCAGTTCTCTGATTCTCTGATTGTGAGAGCTGGGACTGCCCAGCTGGACATGCATTAGCAATAATGCACCACCCGCATCCATTGGGATCAGAGAACTGATTGCTTAGCTCTCTGCTTTCTCTCTTTGTAGCACTTTGATCTAGCCCCTTTGTCCCCTTGTCCCGCAGGGGATCCTTCTGAACTGGACGAAGGGTTTCAAAGCATCAGGAGCTGAAGGGAACAACATCGTGGGGCTTTTGCGGGACGCTATCAAGCGCCGAGGGGTGAGCTGAAAACATGGTTTATGCTGTTCATGCTGGCTAGTTCCCCAGCGTCTCCTCACAGCTGCACCCTCGTGGGGCAAGACTGGGGCTTCTCCAGACAAACCAGCTCCACTGGGGGCGCGTTGCAACCCTCCGGCTCCTGCAGCCTCAAGGACATCCTCAGCGGGAAGGTGGGCTGGAGAGATCCTCGCTCTGCAGGAGCATTCTTGGCTTGCCCAGTCCGGATCAGTGGACTGGGCACTCCACGTGCCCCTTACTAGCGTCAGGGTCCTGCCCTGGAAATGTTCTGTACCCAGGTGCATGCTTCCTTTTGCATGGGCTCTTCTCTGGGACGCCTGGGGAATCATGACCTCTCTTTTGTATGCTCCTCCACAGGATTTCGAGATGGACGTGGTCGCCATGGTCAATGACACGGTGGCTACAATGATTTCCTGTTACTATGAAGATCACCGGTGCGAGGTTGGCATGATAGTGGGTAAGTTACCTGCCCACCTGGGCGTTTCCCCTCATCCCAGAGTGCACTGGGCGCAGCTCCTGCCAACATGGGCATTCCCTACCTGCCCACGGACACCGCAGGCTCCCTGATGTGGATTGTCCTGGTGGAATTCCTGCCGGTCCGTTCTCAGGGCTCATTCCAGTCCTGTTGGCAGCACGAGGAAGCAGAGTAGTCCTCGGTCCAGCTCATACTGTGGGAGTGGGCGGGAGGCCCCAGAGCTATTCAGTTGATTTGGGGCTAGGCCGTGCCGTGTGTCATCTTTAGCAACATTCAGGAGGCAGGTGGGTTGGAGGAAAGCCCCACCGCTGAACTGCTCTGATGTCATGTGTGTGGCAGGGGGCATTCTCAAAGACCTTGCTCTCCAGCTGGGATTTCTCTGGACACAACTACTGTTGAGCCTCCCTTGAGGCTAATGGTGTTGCAATGTCGGTCAGGTGTCAGGCTCCCTCTAGATGCGGCAGCTGGGGCGATGTAACGGTTCTGCGCTGGTCTTAGTAACCCTGGGGTCCGCAATGATTCTGCTGACGCCGATGCACGTTCCTCCTCCCGTGATTTGTTCCTCGCGGGATCCAGTTGTCTTTTGCTCCGTGATCAGCTGGTACCCGGGGTGTCTCTGGTATTTCAAGTAACCCTGCTGATTTCTCTGACCGTCTGTTTCCACTCTCTGTGATGGTGGCTCTGTCAGGGGGAGGAGTGAGCACTCTTGCTGACTTCCAGTTGTTACTGATTGTTGGGCTGAACCGTGGGTTAGTGCATCAACCAGAGTCACGTTACTGCTCCGTTTGCATTTCTTCCAGCTGAATTGTTAAGCCTGGAATTGACGTAGGTTTGTGTAATGGAGATCTTGTGGGAAATAAAGTCCCTGCCCATGTGTTCTGTGGAAGCTGTTCCCTACTGGTACTTGTCTATTCTCCAGTAGGTTTAGATCTATTTATCTATCCTAGGGTTGAATACTTCCACCCATCACCATAACATCTGGGCACCTTTCCCGTAAAATTGATAGCGATAGCAAAGTCCCTAGAAGACTGGCTAAATAAAGATCTCCGTCATCATGCTTAGCTTCCTTGGAGACAGTCTTCGCTCCCCGCCGCCCCATTGCTCTGGGGACACTGTGGCGAGAAAGCGCTGTGCTCAAACAGGGAGATCGCAGTGAGCTCCTGCACTTCCGCATCTGGAATCAATGATGGGAGCCCAAGGGGTTGCAAATTGTGATCTAGGATGGGGAACGCCCGTTCTACTGACTTTGCCTGTTCAATTTGAGATCGCCGTTCATTTAGTAACCGGTTAACTAGGGGCACGTCTGGGACGCTGAGACTCGATACCATGTGTGGACGTTACCTCTTCCATCTCCCATGAGCTGATAACCTGACCTACCAAGAGCAGTTAGCATCCCCTTGAGAGTCACCGCCGGCTGCTGGTTCCCATGAGGAGGACAGAGCAGAGCTGAGGGAGTTACTCACAGCCCAGCCCCTGTGTGCGAGGTGGGCTCTATGAGTGGAGAGCCGCCGGGTGGAGCAGGAGGCAGAGCTCCCTTGGAAGGACTCGGGAATGACAGGACATAAGGGAGCTGGCAGGAGAAAGGCTTGGGGGTGGGCCCAAAATTCTGGGCAGGGACCAAAGCATATGGGCGGACTCACTGTTATAGAGTTTTAGGCCAGAAGGGACCACCAGTCTGACCGCCTGTAAATCACAGGCCACCCACCCCACCCAGCACCTGCACACTAACCCAACAACCCAGGTGTCACAGCCCAGAGGACACTAGACTGTGGTGTGCCACAGGCTGAGATTAGGAGTTACCAGGGTGCACCTGTGCCCTGCAATGGCAGGGAAATGGCTGAGAGATGCCCCCAGATAATCCTGGCGAGGGACCCACACCCCATGCTGCGGAGGAAGGCAAACCCCCCCGAGATCACTGCCAATCTGACCGGGGGAAAATTCCTTCCCAACCCCAGAGCCCCTGGGCATGGGAACAACAACCAGCCAGCGACACCAGGGGAGAGACTACTCAGATCCCTAGCCCACCCCGCCCAGTGTCCCATCTCCAGCCATGGCCATCCCATAATGCATTGGGGGGGGGAATCCCTTCCTGACCCCTGCAGGCGGCCGGCTGACACCTTGAAGGACCTGGGAGCCCGATTCAGCTCTCGCTCACCCCACGTTTATCAGGAGTGGTCCCGGAGCACCACTGGTGCAAGCGATTAGAGAGTTGGGCCTGTTGTGTTCACCACGAGATCCTTGCTGAGCAGACACAGCCGGCAGCAAGGCAGGGCTGATTCCCACTCCTGGAGAGCAGACAGTGATGCTGGGCCGCCCACCTGGGGACGCCGCAGCGCGCCTGGTGTTGGAGAGACGCCGAAGCTGAGCCGCGCACAGTGACAGCAGGACGCTGTTAGAAATGCTGGGATACCCTGTGCATGGGCAGGCTGCGGCCTCCTGGAACGGTGGCAGCCGACGGCAGCCCGGGGCCCCTCCTGCAGCTGCCGGGGAGGGAGCTCTGGCATGGCGCCCTCAGCTGGGGCAGGTGGAGAAGCAAGGACACCTTCCCCATGGGGCGCAGGAGCCGCTCAGTGTCGTCAGCAACAGCTCCATCTGGGCCTTTCGCATGGCTGCCTCTTCCGCTTGCCCTGGGTAAACAACGCTCGCTTGGCACTGGCCTATTTTTTAATCACGCTAAGAATAGAGATGAGCTCATCTCTGAGTGGGAGCTGCCAGCCGGGTGAGTTTAACACACAGTGCTCCTTCCGAGCGGCTGCAGACCTCCCCAGTGGGTGAGGGCCGAGGGCTCCCCCAACAGGGTATTATCACTGCTGGCTTCACCAGGGTGGGCTGTGGATTTATAGATTCCAAAGCCAGAATGGACCCCTGTGATCAGCTGGTCTGACCTCCTGTAGACCACAGGCCATGGGACTTCCCAGGATAATTCCTATTTGAACTAGGACGGATCTTTTACAGAAACATCCCAGCCATGGAGAATCCACCACAACTCTTGGGAAATTGTTCCGATGGTTAATGACCTTCACTGATTTGTACCTTATTTCCAGTCTGAATTTGTCTAGCTTCCCCTCTCAGCCATTGGGTGGTGTTAGACCTTCCTCTGCTAGCCTGAAGAGCTCAGTATGAAATACTTGTTCCGCATGTAGGCACTGATGGACTGGGATCAAGTCACCCCTTGACCCTCTCTTTGTTAAGCTAGATAGATTGAGCTTTTTGGGTCTATCACTGGAAGGCAGGTTTTCCAGTCCTTTAATCATTCTCGTGGCTCTTCTCTGACCCCTCTCCAATTTATCAACATCCTCCTTGAATTGTGGGCACCAAAATTGGACACCGTATTCCAGTAGCGGTCGCACCAGTGCCAGATACAGGGATCAATATGGATTGGCCAGTGCTGCCAGGTCACTGCCTCCAGGTGGGATTTCCTGCACTCTTACCTGGGACTAGTGGGGGACTTGCTTATAGACCTGTAGGCAGTATTTTCTCATGTGGACAAGGATTCAGTTTCTATCGTTTCTTTTCCTCAAAGGTCAACACTATGGTATGGTGATCTGGAGTAGCGGTAAGTAGTAGCTAAGCCCTCTAGTGGCTGGCTTGTCAGACTAGCTCAAATATGTCTCACAAGTAGAACCGAGTGAATCATCTGTACCCAAGAACTTTTTTGACAAATCTCACCTCTTTCTGCTGGAGATCTTGTCAACTGATTGCAGCTTGCCGAGTTAATTTGCCAGCAGAATGTGTTGGGTACGGCTCTTTTTGCGGTCGTTTAGTCAATGAGTTCACCCTCATCCGAGATATTTAAATTCAAGCGGTGTTGCTTAGTTGTGATAGATCAGGTAAGTTACGCAGGATGGTTTCCACTCATTGGTTAGAGGAAGGTGTAGGCACTTCGAAGATGATGATTTGTGTGCTTGAGTTTAATATTTGGTTTCCAAGAATATTCATGCGAGCAGCTTGCCATCTAATGTGCTTATCTGGCTCATAGCTAAGCATCCGGGCGGTGGCATGTGAGCACCTCGCAATCTTTAATGTATATATCCTCACGGCAGTCCCCTGCCGCCAGGAAGTACTGTAATCCCCATCGTACAGACAAGGAGCTGAGCATGGAAAGGCCGGGGCCACTCTGAGCTCAAACATTTGTGCCGATGAAACTCAGTTACTTGAAAGTTTGTGGGATGTGAACGCTAAAGGGTGAAAAAGGCACCATCATAAATCTGAGCCAGATTTGCTTTCTGGGTGTGCCGTTTGCCCATCTCTTGCCCTGAGTCCTAGTGAAGAGATTCTCCCTTAGCGCTAGGGGGCCCGTGCTTCGGGAAGGCGTTCTTTGTACTGCAGGAGGCTTGATTTCTAAGCCAATCTCATGATTTTTTGAGGCCTGGCTCCTGAGTTTTGAGCTGAGGGTGGCAACATCTACAGGGAGTATTAAATTATGACAGAGCAGTTCCATGTTCGTCACTTACCAATGCAACCGGAAGAAGTGCACAAGGACGAACAGACGGCCCAGCCCGAGGGCCCGGCTTCCACGGGACACCCAAAAAACCGCTCAGCCCTGCAGGGGCACCATTACAGAGACAGAGAAAAAATCACTGTGGTCCCTTGACTTTCACTTTCAAGGCCCTTCACACCCTGCTTCTCTGGGTCACCACTGAGCTATTGACTGCCATGGTCCCAACCTCCCTCACCCGCTTGTAAAATTTGCAAACGAGCCTCTGTGCGTTTCCTCCCCTGCTGTCCCTCACGCTCCCCCTCCCCGCCCTGTAAACATCCCCAAAGCTACCTCATGATCCCCCTTCCAACCGCTCCTTAAAACTCTCCTTTGCCATGACGCTTGCAAAAACCGTACAGGCCAGGCAGCAGCTGTGCTGAGACCCCTGCTGATCAATACTGTCCCATTGTCTCCGTGTGCTCCCCTGTCTGCCTGTACCCAGTTGTTCTCTCTCAGGGCGGCGATAGTCTTTCATTGTGCGCAGCACCTTGCATCAGGGAAGCCTGGTCCGTGCCAGGGGCTCATAGGCGCTCTGGTCACACGAATAATAAGACCAGAGACGCCCCAGATCCCGGTTGCTCCAGGAGAAAAAGGTGACACCGTGATCCTTCAAGGAGCAATAGCTAACTAACCAGTGGTGCAGATCCGCAGCTGGCAGAGATCGACTGATCGCCCCCGGCCGTGGATCTGACCCAGGCCTTCGAGAGCTCTGCGTCGGCCACACTATTGCAGAGCTGGGTTGCTGAGAATGGCTGAAAGGAGGAGTATGGACCTTGGAGGGCTTTCCCCTTCTTCCACAGCGTGGGGCATGGGTGGTCTGCTGGCATCAGCTGGGCATGTCTCACCTAATCCATTCCCTGCCCTGGCAAGGGCCTCGGCCATCGGTGGTGCCCCAGTCTCTCCTGTTCTCTGCCTGTGGCTGCAATACTTCGGCCTCCTGAAACCCTTTAGCCTAACTGGCGTCATCGGGCTTAGCTCTGGGTATCGGGTGAAATCCTGTGCCAGGCAAGAGCTCAGACTAGTGGTCCCTTCTGGCTTTAAACGCTAGGAAACAGGCTATAAGGATGGGGCATGAGGTTGTATCATGGGCATACGTAGGCTATGGCCTGTATTAAGCCCGTGCGTCTGCCCCTTGTAAACTAGATACCCGCGCAGACTCAAAGCCAGCGGCTGCTCATGCAGTGGGTCAAGCGCAGGGCCCACGTCCCCAGTTGTCACAGGGTGCTTTGCCTGGAACTCGCCCTCATGAGACTAACCCCCGGCTTGGTGTCCCCTGCCAGGTACCGGCTGCAACGCCTGCTACATGGAGGAGATGGAGAACGTGGAGCTGGTGGAGGGGGACGAGGGCCGGATGTGCGTGAACACTGAGTGGGGAGCCTTCGGGGCCTCAGGGGAGCTGGACGAGTTCCTCCTGGAGTACGATCGGGTGGTGGATGAGACCTCACTTAACCCCGGGCACCAGCTGTAAGGGACATGACAGATAAAACAAATGCTTTCCCTGCGCCTCACTTCCTCCCTGCTGTCGCCCGGCCGCAGAGCCGGACTCTGCCAGCCGCGGCTGCTAATTCAGCGGAGGGTGGGGGCAGTTCATCTCCAACGGAACTTGCTCAGCTCTGGTTCTGAGAGTGCAGTTTTACATTCCCTGGCAGGCAAGTCGGTCCTTCGTGACAGTGTGGGCCGAGGGGCCGAGAAGTGGGTCTGCGGGGCTCTCTCTCAGAGGTCCCAGTACAGGTGCTGCCAGAGGCTGGCTTGCCTGATCACTGAGGTGCTGTAGCAGGAGGCTGATATGTGCAGAGCCCAGCAAAGAGGAAAAGTGGTTGTTTTCCTGCAGCTCAGAGAAAATAGCCTCACAGACTGAGCAATCCATCTTGGCGGTGTTAAAACAGGTGAGAGCAATTTCCGCTCACCAGCCCTACCTCCAGCCCTCTCTCTCTCACACACATACCTCAAGGGAGTCTAAACACACACTCGCATACCCATGGACACACCTCAAACATACCGACATGTGCAAACATCCCCCCCACCACACACACACTGTCAAACGGACACACTAGCTCCCTCACACGCCCATAACTGCACCCACGTCTGCTTATCCACCCACGCTGTCTCCCTTCAGAAACACAACTGTGCACATACACTTCACACACACCTCCATACACCCCTTGTGCACAACCATCCACTCACAGCCATGTGCACACTCACCCTGCTACATCCTCAGTACACTCACCCCAGGACACAGATACCCACCAGCAATCTACACTCACATACCTGGATACACACAAATACACTCCCCTACACACACAGTAAAACACCAACACACACACCGAGAGCAATCTACACTCCTGCACCCTGGTGCCCTCACAAACACACTCCCGCATCCACACACCAATACACAAACACACCCAGAGCAACCTACGCTCACACCCCGGATGCCCACAAACACACTCCCGTATCCACACACCAATACACAGAGCAATCAACACTTACCCCCCGACACCCTGACAAATACACGTTTCTCCCTTGTGCTTTTCCTCACTTCTCTCCTTTCCTTTCCCCTTCGCTCTCTCGCGCTGTCCCCAGCCCAGTGTCCCACTAACCTTGAAAGGACAGAGGAGGCCCCCAAGGGCTCTACCTTTGTCTTCCCTCCCTTTGGCTCTGCAGTGCCCTGTAGTGGTGGGAACTGCCACTTGGCGTTAAGGGCTGAAGAACGCAAAACCTACCAAGGCCTGAAATAAAAGTACCAGGGTGGGACCGGGGCGGGAAAGTAGCCGACAGCTGTTGCCCAAGGAGCGTGGCCATCTGAATAAGCGATCGATGGCAGGGCCATTTGAGTTAAGCATCTCCTTAGCTGCAGGATCAGAGTGGGCCCGATCCTGGCCCATGCTATGGGACAAAGGGGTCATAAAGACATTTGCAGAGGATGAATCACTGGCTCTGTGCCCCCTCGCTTGGTCCCCCCTGAGCTCAGCGGGTAGAATCATAGAATCTCAGGGTTGGAAGGGACCTCAGGAGGTATCTAGTCCCACCTCCTGCTCAAAGCAGGACCAACACCAACTAAATCATCCCAGCCAGGGCTTTGTCAAGCCAGGCCTTAAAAACCTCTAAGGAAGAAGATTCCACCACCTCCCTAGGTAACCCATTCCAGTGCTTCACCACCCTCCTAGTGAAATAGTGTTTCCTAATATCCAACCTAAACCTCCCCCACTGCAACTTGAGACTATTACTCCTTGTTCTGTCATCTGCTACCACTGAGAACAGTCTAGATCCATCCTCTTTGGAACCCCCTTTCCAGTAGTTGAAGGCTGCTATCAAATCCCCCGTCATTCTTCTCTTCTGCAGACTAAACAATCCCAGTTCCCTCAGCCTCTCCTCGTAAGTCATGTGCTCCAGCCCCCTAATCATTTTTGTTGCCCTCCGCTGGACTCTTTCCAATTTTTCCACATCCTTCTTGTAGTGTGGGGCCCAAAACTGGACACAATACTCCAGATGAGGCCTCACCAATGTCGAATAGAGGGGAATGATCACGTCCCTCGATCTGCTGGCAATGCCCCTACTTATACAGCCCAAAATGTCATTAGCCTTCTTGGCAACAAGGGCACACTGTTGACTCATATCCAGCTTCTCGTCCACTGTAACCCATAGGTCCTTTTCTGCAGAACTACTGCCTAGCCATTCGGTCCCTAGTCTGTAGCAGTGCGATGGAGGGAGGAGGGTGTGACTGGAGGATGCTACACTCCAGGGCTCCCCTGCGGTGTAATGGTGTCTCAGGGCCCGTTACAAGCTGGCACAAGTTAGAGCAGTCCTGAGGTGGCTCTGAGATGAGGTGTGCGGGGGTGAGCTGGGCCCCCAGCAGAGCCAGGGATCATGGGGGCTCAAAGCCCATCTTCTCCCCCACCCCAGGGCATTGGGTGAGGCTCTAGCACAGTGGAGGATTTGGGCCTGTCAGCGTATTTGGTATGTAACTGTCCTGTTCTCCTTCACCTATCGCACTACTGAGTGGGTGATGGAAACACTGGCCCAGGCTCTGCACTGGGCCCAGGTGGTTGGCGTCTGGTACCAGTTCCCTCTGCAAAGGCTGCCCATAACTCCCCCCAGCTGCAGGCCCCGGAACCGGCCGTTGCATTCGCTGGGTGCTGCAGGTAGCAAGAATTGGCTTTGGCTTCGGCTCTGCTCACTGCAAGCTGAGGCGTGCCTCTCCTGCCTGAGTCTCTGCACGAGGCCTGTCCCCACGGAGGCTGGGAGTAGGGAGACGTCCCTTTGGCAGAACGCAAGGGGAGGAGAAGCCGAGCAGGACCTCTGCCCCCCTTGGGCTGGCACTGTGGCAGTGTCCCTGAGCCTGCAGCTGTCTCAGGAGGAAGGGGCAAGCCAGCGTCAGCGTTGCTCAGCCGGGGTTGTGTCGAGACAGATCTCTAGGCCTCGGATGCCCCTCGTTGCAGGAGAGCAGGGTCCAACTGAGAACGGGCAGAGGGTCTGTGTCCTCGCGGCCCTGACCGGGGGTGCTCTTCTGTCCCTGCCCAGCTACGAGAAGATGATCGGAGGCAAGTACATGGGAGAGATCGTGCGGCTGGTGCTGCTAAAACTGGTCAATGAAAATCTGCTCTTCCATGGGGAGGCGTCCGAGAAGCTGAAAACCAGAGGCAGCTTCGAAACCCGCTTCATCTCGCAGATCGAAAGGTACGTTGTGGCCTCCCCAACCGCCCAATGCGCAGCCAGCCCCACCCGCTGCAACTCAGGGGCTCCTCATAGAGCCCTATGAGGGAGCTCTCCCGTCCCCCCCACCCACCAGCTGTAATCCCATCCTACAGCCCCAGAGCACGGCTGGACTCCCGGGGCCCCCAACGGCGACCGAGCTGCAATATGTATAACTAGAGAGAACAACCGTTCCCCACTGGGCTTCGAGCTCACGTGGAAGCCGTGTACGTCAGCTCCCCCTCTGACAGGGACCCGCACACACCTATGGCAGGTACCCTCACACCTTGCAGTGTACTGGCTGGAGCACTGCACTGGGGCTCAGGAGACTTGGGTTCTCTCCCCGGCTCTGCTGGGCGACTTTGGGCAAGTCACTTGCCCGCTCTGTGCCTCAGTTTCCCCATCTATAACGACACTGCCCTTCTTTGAGCTCTTTGGCTGAAAAACTTGCTGGGGATTGTTAGTACTTGGAATGAGGAATCAGCCCCAAGATTGCGGGAGCCAGAGGAAGGGTGCCAGTCAGTGAATGCTCTTTAATAAGGGTGCCCACAACCCCCACACGACTGTGCCAGCGTCACTTTGAACAGGGCCTAGCTCACTTTTCCTTGCACGTTATTAGTGGCTGGTTTGCTCTGCACCTGGCTTCTTGAGCCCAGCTTCTCGGGCCTGACCCAACTGTCCTCCCTTTGCAGCTCTAAGATCACGGGACTTAGAGCAGCTTTAAGGCTAATCCTCTAAAATGCACCAAGTTAGGCCTGGTAGTCTACGGCCCAAGGGATTTCTGATCATCTAGTCTGATCTCCAGCGTAACCCAGGCCAGAGAACCTCAACCAGAGATTCCTGCATCTAGCCCAGAACTCCTGGCTGAGCTACAGCAGGTCTCTGAGAAAGACTGAAAGACTCCAAGCAATGGAGAACCCACCATGCCCCGCGGTAAATTCTTCCAGTGGTTAATTACCCTAAACAAATGCACCTTAGTTTTAATCTGAAGTTGCCTAGCTTCCACTTCCCACCGTTGGATCTCCTTCTGCTGTTTACAGCAAGATTAAAGATTCGTCTATAATCAGAGATCTTCTAGCAGGTGGTGACCAAGTCACCTCTTAGCCTTCTCTGGGCTAAACCAAACAGAGGGAGCTTCATAAGTCTCGCACTGTGAGGCAGGTTTTCCAGACCTCAAATAATGCCCGTGGGTCTTACCAACATGGAGCCAGGCGGGCTCCCGGAAGTATGGGATGTATTTGTAGGGGTGGGGAGAGACGCCTGCTCACAGACCTTCCATGCCAGACATCATTTGGTGGGAAGGGCTGGAAGCACCTGGAGGAGATTGGGAAGGAGGCTGGAGTCTCATGGGCATTGGTAAAGCGGGTTTACGGGAGGTACAGTAGAGCTGAGTGAGGTTTTAGACACGTAGGAACATAGGCAGCCTAAGGGCCCTCTCGCCCAGTCTCCTGTACCTGACATTGGCCAGCACCATCTGCTTCAGGGGCTGGGTGGAACAAGAAACCCCCAAAGGGCAATTCTGGGTAGCCCGAGCCCTGACCCCATTTCTTTGTTGCACCCTATCTCACGTAACTGCACATGTTGCTGTTACAAGGAGCTGTCCTGCTGCTCTCTTCCCAGGAGTATGAGCAGTCTGAAATTCAGCCACTTCTGGTGAGGAACTGCACTGCAAACCAGCAGAACGTTTTCCGGAGGGGTAAACGGGTGTCCTCTCCTGAGTCACCAAAGCCAACTTCCATCCAGCTACCGACCAGGCCTTAGGAGCCTGCTAGCTGTCTGCACCCTTCCACTGGCTTTACCCAGCACCTTCTGTCCAGCTGCGCCAGCAGCACTGGGCCTGCCCCCCGTGTTCGGCACGCCCTAGCGTATGGAGCCTGACATGCTTTCACTCTCTGTCCCAGCGACGCCGATGACTGGAAACAGACCTACAACATCCTGACGTCCTTCGAGCTGCTGCCCTCGCTCACGGACTGCGACATCGTGCGGATGGTGTGCGAGAGCGTCTCCACGCGGGCGGCACAGATGTGCTCGGCAGGGCTGGCCGGCGTGATCAACCGCATGCGGGAAAGCAGGGGCGAGGAGAGGCTGAAGATCACCGTGGGCATCGATGGCTCGGTCTACAAGCTCCACCCCAGGTGAGGTCGCATGCAGGGGCGAGCGCGCCGATTGAAAGTGACTGGGAAGGTGAAATGGCACTAGCAGCTGCCTCCCCAGCCCCAGCGCTGCCTCTCAGCCTTATCCCAGCCCCACGGAAAGCTGCGTCAGATGGAATGATTCACAGACAGGAGCATGTGGGTGGCCTCTCTCTGCAGGGCCACTAGGGAGCACTCACCCTTATCCTGGGCAATGGCAGCCTTGTTAGTGCCTTAGCACTGAACGGCTGTGAGAGGCAGTGCTGAGGGCTGGCCCTGGGGCCAGCTTTACAGGTGCTGGTGGGCTCCAAGTCGGGGGGAGGGAAGGGTTGTACCTCAGCTTCCTGGGCCATAGAGGGACCAATGAGATCTGGGACCTCTAGATGCCTGGTGGGTGGAAGGGAGAAGGGAGGAAAACTGGGAATCTTAAAAGAGCAGCATCTGAAAAAGGAACAGACTGGAAAGGAGCTGGAATGCCTGGAAAGGACATGGCCGGGGGGTTCCATCAGCTGTCAGACGCTCCTCATCAAGCCAGCAGGTCGGGCCGGGCAGGGCTCAGCCTGAGAGCCAGCTGTCTTTTCTTCGCTGCCTTACAGGAGAAATTTGGCCCTCAGGACCTGCGCTAAGACTTCCCACAGCACTTTCTGAGCCCGTTCTCAGAACTGAAAAGCAATCACAGCCTGTGGTTCTCTGGGGGCGGGGGAGCAAACTGCAGCGTTGTGCCAGGGTACAGCCCGGAGATCTAAACCGCCTTAGATCAGACACTCCGTGGGGCAGCACCTCGCACAATGGAACCTCACCCCCGTGGGCACCATCAGAGCCTGAATCTATCTTTAGATGACCCCCATCACCATATTTATGCTCACTGCCCTCCTGGGCAGTGTTGTGCCCATTGTACAGATGGACGCACTGAGGCACAGGGAGGCTCAGTAACTTGAAGATGGTCACACAGGAAGTCGGGCAGAGCAGGGAGATGGGGCAGCAGTTTCTCGGTAGGCTCAGTGGAGCCGTTCAGCCTAACCCCCGCCGCCTCCTCTCTCCCCAGCTTCAAAGACCAGTTCCATGCGACCGTCAGACAGCTGGCGCCCGGCTGCGACATCACCTTCCTCCAGTCAGAAGAGGGCAGCGGCAGGGGGGCCGCCCTGATCTCGGCGGTAGCGTGCAAAATGGCCTGCCTGATTGGCCGGTGAGCGAGGCCGCTGGCCAAAGGACCACGGAAGGAGCAGCCGCAGCTGGGATGTGGCTCCATGCCGAGTTCTTTAGAGCGCGTGCGCCCAGGAGCGGAACCAACAATTGAAGGGGCGGGGCAGTTCCTGACCCCGCCCACCTGCCTCCCACCTGTCCTAGCCACTGCGCTAGCTGCACTGTGTCCCCTTGCTGTTCCTCAGCCCTCTTTGCTGCTGCCAGGCCGGGCTCTTGGTCCACGCAATAAATCGGTTCCCGAGGAGGTATACTCCTAGGATTGGTTTGAGGGGAGGGGGAAGGGCAGTCCTCTGACCCTTCTCTTCTGATTGGCTCAGGAATTAAAATGAGACGGGCGCATCAAAACGGCGTCCAATCCGCACAAACGGCGGTCGAGGGTTGCGTTTCTCTCAGCCAATCAGGTGCGTGGACGTCGGGGCGTGTCAGGAGCCCGCGATCGGTGGCAGGCTGGCGTGTGCTTGGGGGGGTGCTGGCGTCAGGACTAGAGCCCAGGCGGGAGGCGGAGGCTGGATAGAGACTGGCCTGTCCACTAGCCGGAGGCCCAGGTGTGGCTGGGCCTGCTGAGCCCAGGCTGGGATGGAGCTGGCGGGAATCTCCGGCAAGAGAGCAGCTGGGGGGGTTCACTTCCCCTCCCGCCCTTTCCTGACCCTCCAAGTCTAGCTGCCGAACAGGGCCAAAAGCTTTGCCTCTGGTCTCCCCCCGTCTCTGGCTTTCCCCTCCATGGTGCAGCTCGGGTTCCTTTAGGAATAGCAATAGATCCTCTCTCTTCTGGTTGTGCCCAAAGGCCGGCGGCCCCATGGCACTGGCTGCGGTCCGAACACCAATGAAGAGATGTTCCTTGCGGCGGACTGACCTGGCATCCCTGCCCCTGATGCTCTGGGACAGAGCCCACAACAGGGAGCGCTCCCCAGGGCCCAGCCCACCCCTTTCCATCTGGAAATCCAGCTCCGGGGCTCGCCTTCCTCCTCCCAAGCACACCTAGTCCTTGGTCTCCCTGGGGTGCACCTCCTGCTCACAAGGAGGAGGCTGCCGTGGAGTAAATCCTGCCCTGTGCTGTTTGGCTGGCCTTGGGCTGGTTTCGCAGAGGCAACAGAAATTCAGGAAACCAGGGCAAACCCCAGGGCAAGAACTGCTCTCCCCGGGAAACCTTTCTGTTGGAAGCAGATACAGAGCGGGGGGCAGATACCTTCTCTCAGTCATATGTGACCACATGGCCTGGTGTGAGTTGGCCATCTGTGTTCCCTGTACCGCATAGCCCAGACTTCCTCTTGGGGGGAGGCTGGGGGGCTTTCTGCTGGACACCCCCCCACACACACACACACAGCAGCCAGCCATGTCTGCACATTCTGTGTTGGTCCGAGGTCCGGTCCACGTCTCTTTGTTGCCAAGCATTTGAAATCTTCAGGTACCCCTCCCGCCCTCTCAGGCTAACGTTGATTAGGCTGTACCTCTCCTGAGCAGGACCAGTGCTGCTGTTCGTGAGCCAGACACATTGTCACCCCCACTCCCCTCCACACACAGCCTGCGTGTTCCCATGCAGCGTGCACACCCCAGTGCACAAAGCCCACCGGGTGCACGCCTTCACCCACTCACCGTCCCATGGGATGTGCGTCGCACTGCGGCTCGTCAGATAAGCATCATGCATGTGCGCACCAAGCCCTACAGACTCATGCATCTTTTGATAGCCCCACACACGGGTGCACGTACCGTCCTTGTATACTCAATCCATCTGCAGGACGCCTCAGCCGGACATACAGGGCTTCCACTCTTTTTTTTTCTGTACATAAGAATAAAATAATTCTGATGTTCTGGGCCTGACTGTTTAGTAGCGATGAAATTCACCCCAACAGCGTATTAGACTTTATCCTATGTTTGATGTTAAAATAATTCCCCACCCATCCCTAGTGATGGCACCCTGCCCACATCAGACATGGAGGTGTGGAGGGGGGGCACATATCCCTGAGTTAAAGTCCCCCTCACGCAATCAAAACACAACGTAAGAATAGAGAAGATACATGTAGCGTCCAGACAGCCTTTGTAAAGGGCATGATCTACCCCTCTGCGGGGCTCCTAGGGGCATTGTATTGCAAGTGCCATCTGTGGTAGGTAATATACAAGAGCTATGCTTCCTAATGCCAGACCTGGTCATGTAGGAGCCAGCTGTAGGACACAAGACAGGTCTGGAAGAAGCCAGCAGTTGCCCTCTGATCTCTGGCTCTTCTGAAGCTCCTGGCCCTAGAGAGGACTGTCCTGGCAGGTCCCAGCCTCTTGCTTTCTCCCTGTGTCAGTGTACTCCTGGCACTGTCTGCGTCACATCCCTGAGCTGTCAGAGCTGCCTGGCCCATGAGTACTTCCTACGCAGACTGGTTGTTCCTGGCAGCGACAAGAGGATGATATTTTGGGATCGGGGAACGGGAGCGTCCTTTATCCTCCCCACCAGAGAGGGTCAAAAAAGCCCCCAAATCCTGATTCGAATCCAGCTTTCATTTCCAAATTTTCCAGCCAAAAGTTTGGAACGAACAATGTTTCCTTTGGAATTGTTGGCAGAAAAAGTTTGCAAGGGAATCTGACTCCGAATCGGGATTTTTTTCTTGCCGTTTGGTTTTTGCAAAGCACGATGTTTTCAGAAATCTGGATGTTTGTGGTTCCTTTTAGCGTCGAAGGCCAGAAGGGACCATTGTGATCCTCCGATCTGACCTCCTGTTTCGCACAGGCCAAAGACCTGCCCCACAGTCATTCCTAGAGCAGATCTATTAGAAATCTAGCATCTTCGTTTGAAAATTTAATTATGGAGAATCTACCGCGACCCTTGGTAAATTGTTCCAGTGGTGAATTATCCTCAAGTGTCAAAAGTTTACACCTTATTTCCAGTCTGAATTTGTCTATCTTCGACTTTCAGTCATTGGGATCATGTTAGACCTTCTTCTGCCAGACTGAAGAGCCCAGTATTAAATCTTTGTTCCCCACGTCGGTACTGACAGACTGGGATTAAGTCCCCCCTTCACCGTCCCTTTGTTAAGCTAAATAGACGGAGCACCTTGAGTCTCTTGCTATAAGGCAGGTTTTCTGATCCTTGAATCATTCTTGTGGCTCTTTTCTGGTCCCTCTCCAATTTATGAACCTCTCTTTTGAATTGTGGGCACCAGAACTGGACACCGGATTCCAGCAGCGATCGCACCAGCGGCAAACACAGAGTTGAAATAACCGCTCGGCTCTGATCCGAGATTCCCGTTTATGTAGCCCAGGATCGTATTAGCTCTTTTGGCCACAGCATTGCATGGGGCACTCACGTTCTGCTGATTATCCATCATGCTCCCCAAATCTTTTTCAGGGTCTCTGCTTCCCAGGATACAGTCACCTATCCTGTAAATATGGCCTACAGTCTTTCTTCCTAGATGCACACATTTACCTTTAGCTGTATGACAATGCATATTGTTTGCTTGCGCCCAGCTTTCCAAGTGATCCAGATCGCTCTGTATCAGTGACTTGTCCTCTTCGTTATTTACCATGTTCCCAATTTTCGTGTCCGCTGCAAACTTCATCAGCGATTATTTTGTTTTCTTCCAGGCCATTAATAAAAATGTTCAATAGCGTAGGGCCAAGAACCGAACCTTGTGGGACCCCACTAGAAACACACCCATTTGATGCTGATTCCCCATTTACAATTACGTTTTGAGACCTCTCCATTAGCCAGCTTTTTATCCATGTCCTGTGTGCCACGTTAATTTTACAGTGTTCTAGTTTTGTAATCAAAATGTCGTGCGGTACCCAGTCAGATACCTTACCGTAGTAGTCTAAGTATGTTACCTCAACATTAGTACCTTTATCAACCAAACTTGTAATTGCATCCAAAAAAAGCTGTCATGACTGGAATTTTAGTGTGGAGTGTTTTGTTTGGTGTTTCCTGCTCTCCAACGTTTCAGTACTTCTCCAACTTTGGAGAAGTCTCCAGTGGGCTGAAAAAAGTGATGGTGGCGAGGGTCGGGGGGTCTGTCAGAATCTGGGAGCTGCAGCTTTGGGAAATTGAGTTGAACAGGAAAAGCTTTCAACCCTTTAGAGAAGCAGCCAGGCATCCTGGCTCCCTTTCTCCTCCAACTTCCCCGTGCTTGGGGATGGATGTCACGGACAGGGACCGGGAGGTTGTGGGCCTTTCTGGGATGACCTTTGTCTGGATCTTAGTCGCTCAGCTCTTGGCATGAGATGTGGAGGGCTCCTGTCTCCCCACTGCCTGCATGTGCTGGGAAGGGGGGAAAGTGGGTAAAATCCCAGCCGACTCCCCTACCGGCCCTTCTCAGCTGCTCTCCAGTTGCCCCAGGACCTCTTGCTCCTCCTACTGCAGCCCGGTGCAGGTATGGTCAGAGCATTTCCCTTTGCCCAGCAGGGCTCAGAAGCCAAGCCGGAGTTTGGTGCAACTGAGCCAGGGGCCGGTGCCTGGTTCTGACCCATCAACTCAGCACACGAGCCAGGGGATGGAGATACTGGTTCCTCAGTTGTAAGGAGAGAAGACGACCGCTTTCTTCATCCAGCTGTAGTACCACCAGTCAGCAGTGGCTCAGTCACTTCAGAGCTGCGTGGCCAAAGGGGTTGTGGCCCAGGGGAGTCGGGGTGGGCGGTGGATACCGGGTGAGGGGATGTACTTCAGAGGTGATGTTAACTCGGCCTTGGGTGGCTTTTCTAGGGGGGGAGTGAAGATGCCATGAGGCTTGACAGAGAGAGTTGAGGCTAATCCCAGGCAGGGTCTCAGGCCAAACATCCCCAGAACTGTGCACACATGGGATAAACTTCCCCGCAGCAGCAGCTCCCCAGGGAAAAGCTGTCCAGGAATCCTGCGTGGCCAGCGTGGAGCCGTCTCTAGTCTCTGAGAGCAAACCACAGGCCTGTATCCCCTGCTTCACTGGAGCTGGCCCCCGGGGACCCCCCCAGCGTGGGAGGCTGCAGTAGACACTGTGCTGCACAGAGCCCCCCGGGGGGCACAGCCATGGTGGCTGCGCTGGCATAGGAGGGGGTGCGGCTGGAGCACTCTGCACCCCAGCTCTTCTGATGTCATGCTGGGAGCCAGAGCCCAGAATTCAGCTCTGCTCCCCCCTCGTCTGAGCTGGGGCTCCTCAGCGCTGGATCTGACCCCGAGTCCTGGCTGCAGGGCCAGGCTTCCCCATTAGCATAACCCTGGGATAATGAGCCCTCTAGCTAATGGTTAATATCTGTCATCCAAACCCTCCCCCAGGCCTGGACACGAGCGGGGACTGGATGTGGAGCCGGGAACACGTTTGCTCCCAGCTGGAGTTTTGACTGGGGCTGGCGGGATCAGAGACCTCGCTGGCCTTTAATGCATTAGCCCCGGAACCGAGGTTGGGACAATATCACGGCTCGGGGCCTGCCGGGTCATAGGAGAGTCTGCTGGATGGGGGAGCAGGTTGCAGTGCTGGGGGGTTGAGAGCCAATTGGGTCAGCTCTTTCATTGATAAGACAGCAGATGCTGTCTTGATGCTTGATGGGTTTGATTGCCCATAGAGAAATCAGCCCCAACGGGAAAGGGTTCATTGTTTCCCCAGTGCTGGGAAGCTGTTCTTGCAGCAGTTTTCAGGTTGTGTCTGCTTTAATATGTGAGCTTAATTTGCCTCAGATTTATACACCACGTGTTTAGGACAGGGAGAAAAGGAATGCCCCACACTCCCTTTTCCTGAGCTGCCTTCAGAGTTATTTTTTCAGGCTACAGAGTCATCTGGGCTAACCAGAACCAAACAACGAGAAACCACCAAGCGCAAATAACATTGGCCCAGACTGGTTTCCTGGCCCACAGCTCCCGTCCGGCAAACCTGAACAGAACCTACTTCTTGCTTCTGGCAAATCAAGGGACCACCCGAGAAGCAGAGATTACAGGGGCACTGCTCAGACGTTGCCGCACCGAAACCGGACGTGAGTAGAGGAGACACGGACAGAGCTTTAGCCTAAGGACCAAAGTACGCTGGGAGTTCTGGGGTCGTAGTTTAGCACAAGCGCTCTGGCTTGCTTAATAATATTGGCTAACAGAGACCGGTGCTGCTGCAACCGAGATGCCATAAGCCCAGATGAACCTTGCTGGCTCCAAGCTCAAAGCCACACGATGGCTGGCTCTCTCCGGCTCACTGGGGAAGGCCATGGTAGGGAAGCCTGCGTGCCAGTGCTACAACAGGTGACCCCAGCGGAGCGTGCCCTCGGTGCCGGGGGCTGAGGGAGGCCAAAGCATTCCTTTCCTCAGCAACCTTCACAGCAGGAGCTGGAGGCCGAGCATGAGGCAGGAGCCTCTCTCCAAGCTGGGTCTCCAGGGGGGGCCCTGTAAATCAGAACCATCCCGCTTCCTTCCTGCCTCAGTTTTCTGAGGGCTTTCCGCACAGACCTTCCAGCAGCCTGGCTTGGGGCAACGTTTTTATAAGGGGTGGCCTCCATACTTGGCCTCCACAACTCTGGGTGGCCTCCATACTTGGGTGCACCAGGCGGGGAACCCAGAACCTGGGGCACCAGCATTTCGATATGTGGCTGCACACGACTAGCTCGAAGCCGGGGTTCGACTTCACCTCCCGGCGCTGTGCTGTAGCCACTAGGCCACCCTGCCTCCCTGGCCCGGCTGTTTACTCAATGTGAGCGAAGCATTTCGAGAAGGTTCCGTGTCGACCCGATTGCATCAGCCTGTTCCTTTTCGTTTCTAGCTGGATTGTATCGGTTGGGCCGGTGTCAGTAACAGAAGCTATGGTTTAAACCCGGGGTAGGCAACTTATGGCACATGTGCCGAAGGCGACACGCGAGCTGATTTTCAGTGGCACTCACACTGCTTGGGTCCTGGCCACCGGTCCGGAGGCTCTCCATTTTAATTTAATTTTAAATGAAGCTTCTTAAACATTTTTAAAACCTGATTTACTTTACATACAACAATAGTTTAGTTATATATTATAGACTTATAGAGAGAGACCTTCTAAAAATCGTTAACATGTATTACCGGCACGCGAAACCTTAAATTAGAGTGAATAAATGAAGACTCGGCACACCACTTCTGAAAGGTTGCCAACCCCTGGTTTAAACCGTGTTTCGCCGGAACGTTCGACTTCGTTTTGTTCCGATTCGGAGCCAAACCAAATTTTGTGCAGTCAGAAATTCCCGGAAATCCCGGGATGTGACCAGCGTAAGGACCCCGGCTGCTCCGCGGCTGCCTGGGGACCCCTTCCATAGAGCTCAAGCCGGCTCTCGGGGCCCACCCTGCTGGAATGTCGCTGTCATCCGCCCTTATCACCCCAGCCGGCTCTGCGCCGGGACTGCCAAGTTTGGCGCTCTCCCCCTGTTCTGCTCCTAATTTAGCTACCTGGGTGATAAGCAGCAGTATATAGTGGAGCCCAGCCACCCCCTCGCTGCGGAGGAGCTGCGGAGCTGACACAGCAGGATGGTGAGTCCCTCCCCCCGCCTCCCAGCCCCTCACTGGAACCAGCGTCCAGCTCCTGGACAAGGCTGTTCTGAGTGGGAGCCGTCGGACCCACTCCTGCGGGCAGGGGCACTGTGCTGAGAGCGCCCCCCCAGAACAGCTCCAGCCCCCCCACGTCCTGGGGCGAGGGAGAACCGGGCAATGTGCTGAGAGCACCCCCCCCCCCCCGAGAACGACTCCAGCCCCCCCTTGTCCTGGGGCAAGGGAGATCCAGGCACTGTGCTGAGAGCGCCCCCTCAGAACGGCTCCAGCCCCCCACGTACTGAGGCAAGGAGCAGCCCCTCAGCATGCAGCAGGGCACTAACTCGGGGGGACCTGCCCGGGCCATGCCAGAGCCCCATTGACAGCCCCTAGATACCCATTGTCAGTACCCCCCAGCCCCAGCACTGCCAGCAGACCCCAAAGCCTCACTGCTGTCCCCCTAGAGCCCCATTGTCAGCACCAGCCCCCCCCCAGCCCCATTGCCAGTGCCACCCCCTGAGCCAGCCCCTGCCCCAGAGCTTACAGCCCCCGTGGGGACCATGCGGCCAAAGAACAAAGAATGCAGGGAAGGGAAGAACTCCACATCCCTGAGATTACTGGTGACCTTTCCCTGCCTCCCTCCAGCCCTCTCCCACCCGCAGACCCAGAGCCCTTCCCCCACTAGCAGCTGACCCCCCCAGCCCCACCCCCATGCAGATACCTGCCCTAGAGAGCACCTTCCCTCCCCCTGCCCCATTGCCCCCTGAGAGGTTTGACGGGAGTTGGAACGTGCTGGGGGTTATCAGTGGTTTAAAACTGTTTGTCTGTTTCAATCACACTGGTCCCAGGCACCGGAGAGGGAGGCACCTATCATGCCAGCAAGGGGCTCCCCTTCTGCTGCTTGTGCCCACTGGCATGCATCACAGGGCTCCTCACTGATTGGCTCTGCTGGGCTCAGCAGGATTCCTTGTGCTCTGATTGGATCTGCTGGGGACAGCAGGATTCCCTGTGCTTTGATTGGCTCTGCCAGAGACAGCAGGACTCCCTGCACTCTGATTGGCTCTTTCCCCTGCAGGCCAGCCGGAAAGCCGGCACCCGAAGCAAAGCTGCTGCCAAGCGTGCCCAGAGGGGTTCCTCCAACGTCTTCTCCATGTTTGAGCAGTCTCAGATCCAGGAGTTCAAGGAGGTGAGGGTGCTGCGGCCCATTGTGTGTGAACGCCAGCACGCCGGGGAGCCCGGGCAATGCACATGGTACCCACGCAGGGATATGGCCCGTAGTGAGAGTAGGGTCAGGGCCATGGCCTTCGCAAAGAGAGAGTGGGGAATATTCAGCGTTAACTCCCCCAAGGAGTCACAGCACACACACAGCGAGCTAGAACCTGAGCATCAGCCATCTTGCAGGAAGTCTGCAGCATAACACGACTTTATGTCTTAGAATCAAGAAGCTTAACACAC